TTTTCATTTTCAAATATTCATTGCTGTTAATGGTTGATATTTTTATGACAATAAAAACAAAAATATATATAATTAAATATAATTAAGCAATTTTTAAAAAAAATAAAATGCCTTTATTTTCATTTTTTTCTCGATGTTTCTGTCAGAGCGCAGGCCTCAAGTACTGTCCTAGTTCTCTGGATTTTGCACGCTTGTGACCTGTGCACTAAAGTGCTCTTCCTCCATGTGAACACGTCATAGAGGGGCTTAGTGTTCAGTGTGAGAATTGGGCTAAAATGTTGTTTTGAACACATGATGCGTGGCTCAGGTTTCATCTTCTCCTTCACATTTAAAGGAGGTTTGTGACCAACCTTCAGGTGCATTACTGCCACCAACTGGTAAGGAGTGCAGCAGCTTCATCAGGTTCTTAGATATGTATTCCTAAATTATTGATTCATACCTGTATTTTTGCAAAAGTTCTAACTTATGAACTTCTATTCTAATAGATTAAAGACAGACATTGACTGTTATCATACCGTATGTAGAAAAATGTTTCTTCTAAAGGAGCAGAGCCAGTGAAGGTAATAATCAGGCCTCACTGCAGGGATTAGCAGAAAATCATGCATGCATGATTGTAACGTAGGATTTATCTTTAATGCTGCCTTCATTCTTTAAAGGAAACATACTTTTTTCTCTTTGCACCAAAAAAAAGTCGCGCAAACATCCTGCTGACGTCATCCACAGTTTAACCAGGTGGTAGAAGGATTGTAAAGCCTCATTAAATCCATTATGTTAAAGCGTTTAAAACTAACAACTCAGAAAACATGGAAATTACACCATTAAAATGTTTACCAATATAGACATGTTAGATATCTTTAGAAAGCTTAGATTCTCCATAATTCAACCACCAAGTTCATTTTATGGACACAGTGAGCACCAAAGCACAATTAACACAGATATAGCAGCATGTCAAAATGTAAACATGACAAAGAAGCCACAACAACAGACCTTGGAAGGCGTCCAGAAATCATTTTATAAATTCATCCTTCAATTGTTTATTATCCATTCATCCATTAGGGTCCACAGATTAAAAGTAATCCATAATATTCATAATGAAAATATTCCATGATGAGAAAATCCCCACATAACATCCGTTTTTTGACATCAGAAAAGTTAGCTTGTCATTACTAAAACTTAGCATCTTGCTAATAAGATTACTTCCTCAAACGTTTGTTTGTTTTTTTGTTTTTTACCTATAGGTCTGAAAATTTCTGCAGCTGTGTTTGACATGATGTAGAGAAAATGCAAAACAAAAATTCAAAAATATTTTCAAGAAGCAAAAAAAGCAACTTTGAGTCAAACTTTGAACTGATGCAGCCTAGGCTGTGTTTCAGTAAAACTATTTTTATTTATATTTTCAGAAACAAGAAGGTGTTTGCCTCCAAATGACGTATCAGACATGAAATCTGGGCTTACACTTCCTCAATTATTGGGAATGCAAAATTGATGAGGATTGCTTCCAATTAGGTGGGTTTTAACTTCATGTTTCACCCCCCTTTGCCACCTCCAGATGGCGCTGCTGTCGGTTGAGATTTGCTCTCTCCGGGAAGACAACGTGCGAATGAGGGCGATGGCTGATGTCCGAGAACCCAGCGAGCAGCTGCAGAGCGCCATCAGAGACAGAGACGACGCCATTGCCAAGTAGGGTCAAACAAAGCGAACGCAAACGGTGGTCGGAGCGACACACCAACGCCAACTATGAGCATTCACACGTTTTTATCTGAATGGTTACGTTTGGCTAGAAAACCTCCACAGACCTGCAGTAAAAAAAATAAAACGCAACAATCCAGAAAACCAGCATGGCGCCGCTTTTACATTTTTACTCTTCGTTTACTTGAACTGATTGATCTTTTATAGAGGGGTTAATGCTTGTTTTTAAAAATTGTGTTTTTATGCAACATAAATCATGAAATTCTAACTTTCATTCATGTAGCTGCTGTCGATGCGGAGAAAACTCTTCATCTGAGCGTATATTGGTAGCATCGCAGCTACAGTCAGGGATGAACCTGAGGCTACACTGAAAAAACAATCTAGACATAAGTCAAAATGTCTTAAGTGTATTTACCCCTAATTTGAGTAGGTAAATAAGAATTAATTGCCAATGGTATGAGGATATTTACTATTAAAATAAGATAATTAGATAATATGCACTTGAAATAAGACAAGAAATTAGTTTTTTCTTATTTTAAATGTAAATTGTTTTATTCCATTGGCAAAGTGTCTCACTAACCTCTCAAATTCAAGAAAAAATGCACTTATTTTAAGAAAAAATGATTTATGTAGATTTAAGTTTTTTCTAGTATATAGAGATCATTTTATCCCTTCCTGTTCTCCAATTTGATCGCATTACGCAGCAGATGATAACGTGTTTAAATACCATTTTTAATTATGTTAGAATCAGCCGGCCTCTTTCTTCGTCTAAAGCCTAAAAGTATTCACTCCCCTTACA